GGGATACCGACGATCGAGTCTCGGGCAAGTAACGTACCGATTGACAAAGGGAATTGCATACAGGGTTTGATTGAATCCTCGACATAGTGGTTCATCCGATGACAACATCGAGGAGCATGTGGGAGCCATCATGGGTATCCAGATCCCGCTGATGGTTATTGACTGAGAGAGTCTCGGTCATGTCTGCATGTCTCCCGAACCCGTAGGGTCTACACACTTAAGGTTCAGTTACGCTAGGGTTATAGGGATATGTATATGCAGTAACCCGAATGTTGTTCGGAGTCCCGGATGAGATCCCGGACGTCACGAGGAGTTCCGGAATGGTCCGGAGGTAAAGATTTATATATGGGAAGTCCTGTTTCGGGCATCGGGACAAGTTTCGGGGTTATCGGTATTGTACCGGGACCACCGGAAGGGTCCCGGGGGTCCACCGGGTGGGTCCACCTGTCCCGGGGGGCCACATGGGCTGTGTGGGGGTGCGCCTTGGCCTAATGGGCCAAGGGCACCAGCCCCACATAGGCCCATGCGCCTAGGGTTCAAGGGGGGGCAAGAGTCCTAGGAGGGTAAGGCACCTCCTAGGTGCCTTGGGGGGAGGGAAAACCCCCCTTGGCCGCCGCACCCCCTAGGAGATTTGATCTCCTAGGGCCGGCCACCCCCCCTTGGCACCCCTATATATAGTGGGGGGAGAGGAGGGACTTGATACCTGAACGCCCTGGCCTTTGGTTGCCTCCTTCTCCCTCCCCAACACCTCCTCCACCTCCATAGTGCTTAGCGAAGCTCTGCCGGAGTACTGCAGCTCCACCAACACCACGCCGTCGTGCTGCTGCTGGTGCCATCTCCCTCAACCTCTCCTCCCTTCCTTGCTGGATCAAGAAGGAGGAGACGTGGCTGTTCCGTACGTGTGTTGAACGCGGAGGTGCCGTCCGTTCGGCGCAGGTCATCGGTGATTTGGATCACGTCGAGTACGACTACATCATCACCTTGCAAGCTTCCGCACGCGATCTACAAGTGGTATGTAGATGCAAACTCTCTCCCTAGACTCGTTGCTTAGATGAACTCATAGATGGATCTTGGTGAAACCGTAGGAAAAATTTTAATTTTCTGCAACGTTCCCCAACACATACCGCTAGACAAAGGGAATTGTATACGGGATCGATTGAGTCCTTGACATCGTGGTTCATCCGATGAGATCATCGTGGAACATGTGGGAGCCAACATGGGTATCCAGATCCCGCTGTTGGTTATTGACCGGAGAACATCTCGGTCATGTCTGCATGTCTCCCGAACCCGTAGGGTCTACACACTTAAGGTTCGATGACGCTAGGGTTATAAAGGAAGCTTGTATGTGGTTACCGAATGTTGTTCGGAGTCCCGGATGAGATCCCGGACGTCACGAGGAGTTCCGGAATGGTCCGGAGGTAAAGATTTATATATAGGAAGTCCTGTTTCGGCCATCGGGACAAGTTTCGGGGTCATCGGTATTGTACCGGGACCACCGGAAGGGTCCCGGGGGCCCACCGGGTGGGGCCACCTGCCCCGGGGGGGCACATGGGCTGTAGGGGGTGCGCCTTGGCCTACATGGGCCAAGGGCACCAGCCCCAAGAGGCCCATGCGCCTAGGGAACCCTAGAGGGGAGAGTCCTAAAAGGGGAAGGCACCTCCGAGGTGCCTTGGGGAGGATGGACTCCTCCCCCCCTCTTAGCCGCACCCCTTTCTTGGAGGAAGGGGCAAGGCTGCGCCTCCCCCCTCTCCCCTGCCCCTATATATAGTGGAGGGGAGGGAGGGCTTCCATACCTGAGCCCTTGGCGCCTCCCTCCCTCCCGTGACACCTCCTCCTCTCCCGTAGGTGCTTGGCGAAGCCCTGCAGGATTGCCACGCTCCTCCATCACCACCACGCCGTTGTGCTTCTGCTGGATGGAGTCTTCCTCAACCTCTCCCTCTCTCCTTGCTGGATCAAGGCGTGGGAGACATCGTCGAGCTGTACGTGTGTTGAACGCGGAGGTGCCGTCCGTTCGGCACTAGGATCATCGGTGATCTGAATCACGACGAGTACGACTCCATCAACCCCGTTCACTTGAACGCTTCCGCTTAGCGATCTACAAGGGTATGTAGATGCACTCTCTTTCTACTCGTTGCTGGTCTCTCCATAGATAGATCTTGGTGATTCTTAGGAAAATTTTGAATTTCTGCTACGTTCCCCAACACCCCTTCCTTCTCACGCCGTCGGGGAAGCTCCTGGACCCCGAGGCGCATGGAGACCGGGGGGGGTCCTCCTCCTCGTCCGGCGGCTCGCCCTGCCTCCGCCCCGTCAAGCCGGAGCCCCAAGACACGCCGGTCAGCGCGCGCACCCGCAGCTCCGGCGGCGCCAACACCTCTCCACCAACCGGCCGCTTCGTCCTCGCCGAGCCCAAGCCGGAGCCCATCCTCCCCGCGGAGTACGAGGAGATAGCCCGGCGCGGCTTCTCCGATGAGGACGCCATGCGGTGGGCGCGGGACGACTACCTCCGCGACGAGATGGTCCGGCAGCGCCGGGCCCTGAAGGAGATTGCCGCCCGCAAGCGTGGGCGCGAGGACGAGCACGGCGTCGTGGTCCTCGACAGCGACGACGACGACGACGACGCCCCCGGACCGTCCAACCCGCCGCGCCAACCGGGGGAGGGATGCAGCAGGGACGGCGGAGGCGGCGGCGGCGACGACGACGATGATGACGACGACGTCGGTGACTACACGCGGTTCTACCGCCTCCTCGGCATGTAGAACCGCGTGGGCGGGTGGCGAGGGAGACGGCGGGGGTAGCCCGCGGTAGTTTTTTCCTTTTTTTGTAAAATATGTTTAAGTTTGAATGAACTCGCCGATGTTTGCGTTAAATTTGAGTCATTTTTGCGCCGTGTTTGACTTTTTTGACTAACCGTGGGCGCCGCGACTGGGGGGCATCACGCCCCCAGTGCGCGATTTAGCGCCGGTGCGCCCCCAGAGGGCGGTTTTTTGCCCCTCCTAGGGGCCAACGGCTGGAGATGACCTAAAGCTCCCTCACACGATTCGGAGGGCTGCCGCTCCGTTTTCCTCTGAATTGCCCATCTCCCGCAAAACATACCCGTTCAATCCCAGCGACCAGAAAAGAAAAGAAGGGAGACGAGAGGGGATCTCGGGGCAACCTAGCTACCAGATCGGCGGCGAGAACCGGGGCGCTCGGCGGCGGCGCAGATCTGTTCGTCCCCCGTCTCTCCCTCTCCTTCCATCCCCTGTCCCGATTGCTCCGCCCATACCGCACCCCTCCGCTCCTGGTCTCTGTCTCCAGCGGCGACCAAGACCGGTCTCCATCCCCACCCCGGCCGGTGGACGAGAGGAAGCCCGGCAGCGTCCACCATCCTGTCCGACGGCGGCGGCGACCACCATATCATCCCGTGCCATGGCCATGTGAAGCAAGAGGATAGAGGTACTGGTGCAAGGGGTGATAACCGGCGCTGACCGTGGCAGGCTGTACATAGTGAACTAGCAAATGGATTGAGCTGCAGTTAGTGCAGATAAGTAATTTGAGGAGGTGAAGTAGTACAGTGCCTGCGTATGCGTAATTTGAGGAGTATCAAGCTGGATGCCCTATTCTGAATTTCAGCAGTACAAATTGAGATGGCCTTGTGCTGCTAGTAGACTGCTTGTCGAATGATAATTAGATGACTCTGTATCTATGTGATTGTTTGTGCACCTCAGAAGTACTATCTGGTAGGATATTTATTATTTTTTACTGCTATATATTCATTTAATTGTAGTCATGTGTAAGAAGATTTCAGTTTTGAGTCATGTAGAACAAGGTATAATCTGAATGGCAATGTAGCTATGCAATTCCAAAGTTTGTCATTCAAACATGATTCGGTATTGAAACCTCAGAGGCATTTCAAGGACCAATTCAGTGAACAACCAAACAGGCGAATTCGTATTCATGCCATTTCAGTTTCCTCGCTGAATTGGAATTTCAGTCCAATTCAATACGGACATCCAAACAAAGCATTAACTAAATTACAAAAACGTAGCTCCAATACACTGTTCGGCCGATTTGCAGACGGGGCTATGAATCCAATCATGCATGGGTCAGAGCGTCGCACAGCCGCCAGATCAAGTGTCGTTTGCAAACTGGGTACGGAGTGCCGACCACAGAGTAGTTCCGATAATTAAATACTCCCTCCGTCCCAAAATAAGTATAGCTGATTTAGTACAAAATTAGTATAACTTTGTACTAAATCAGGGACATTTATTTTGGAACAGAGGGAGTATAAAAATAGCTAGATAGAAAAGGGATCAGAATCAGGCAAGAAAAAACGTACAAGGCATGAACCTGGACGGCATCTTTGAAATCAACATATATGCAGCGAAGTCGAGCAACCAATTCGAGCTACCAAATTGCTCCAGCGAAATCAACATATATTGCTCCAGGAGCTTGTGCTACCAAATTGTTATCTTCCCTGGATGACATAGCATGATTAGGTCTTAGCCATGTAACTGTTCCATCAAAAAATTGGAATGTCAGTGTCGAACTCGTTAAATTCAGCCATTCGAAGTTTGCAGCGCATCAGGTGGTTATTTGCAGAGTATGGGACTCTGCGGTTTCAGTATATGCCAAGGTTGATTCCAGCTGCATTTTTTCAGTTTCTTCCAGCCCTGTGTGAGTATGCCAACTCTTTAGGGTGTTCATGCTCTTCTTGGTACAAGTTATATCCTCTCTGCAGCTAAACCTTAGATGGCAGACAATTAGTATGCAAGACAATTAGTTTCTACACTTCAGCCTCACAAATACTGAAAAACAAGTCTTAACCAAGTTTGAACAACTCACTACGGTACAGTCTTACGGATACTGAAAGCAAGTTCTAGGCTTAAACAAGTTACAAGAGTAAAGTCTCGGAAATACTGGAAACAAGTTGTTGGACTCAAACAAGTTACCGAAGTTCAGTTTCACAAAAGTAGGCTGCGCTGAACTAACAAACATTGCAAAGCGACAGAGTTGGTGCACTAATCGTATGAACAAACTTCTCCATGATGCGTGAAGTTCATACGTAGTCCTGGCCTAGAGAAGCTTAATAACAATTTGCGGAGCTCTTCACCCTTGCTTTCAGTGATTGAGTCATGGAAATTTACTCTCATCCCCTCTAGCATCTTTGTCCAGTTGAATAACCTTTTCACAAGAGCGAGTTCATGTTCAGTTCCTCTCAGGTCGTTGATTACTACTTCTTTGAGGCAAGGTAGCACGAGTTCCTCGGTTTCCCAGTTTGATGGCTCAGCACAAATGCAACCTGATTGGCACGGAGGGTATGGCTGCAAGAAAAGACATATCAGTTGATTAGAGAAATGAAACTAAGAAATAATCAGACTGCATGGATACTATTAAATATGTCCAAAACAAAATTTACAAAAGAATAAAACAGATAAATTAATTTGGAGACAGCATATTGCAGAAAGTATAATTGCTCTATGCATATAGGAAATCATACATCCAACTTTATTATAAGTCTTACACAAATTATCATGTATTGTGCTATCGTCGGCCCATACAAAAGAAGAATTTTATATTTGCTGAAGAAGATCAAAGAAGGGTTCCGATTTCTTTGCTAAAAATATGATGCCATCAGTTTATATTAGCATTTCCAAAAGACTGGTAATTTTTTGAAATAAAACCTATTACAAAGTCACGAACTCAAGTAGCATATTACTTCATTAAGCTTGATAAGCAACACATCAGTATCTAATCCTAACAAACAGGATTAGGGCATCTCGCTAATAAGCCATGGGATTCATCATAAACTAAGAACAGTGTTACCTTCGGTTTGCTCGGCAAGGCAAGTTTAACCTCCAGCTCTCTTATACCACTAGATATCCTGAGAACATGAAACAAGCTGGCTCCAAAGGAATGTTCAAATGCCATTACAGCCAATGTCAAGCTTGTAACTTTAGGAAACTTTGTCATCTCTTCCATCAAGAATCGGTTGCTACATTTGACCTGTAGTTTCGCAGGAAGTCATATAACAGTTGATAAGGACACAAACATCTCATTTCTACAAAGTGAAACACATAATAATTAAGAAAATCATTTTTTGTGTACATCGTTCTGAATTTTCAGTTTTCCATGGTTTCTCAGATATTCCAAGTGACATGTTCTTAAGTTTAACTCCATGTTTGCTTATAATTTCTATTGGCTTGCTAGCATGTTACAAATCGCATAACTCAAATAAGAATAAACTCACCAGTGTATAGTCAAGGTTGAGAATAAGTCTGCTGATGCGGTCAAAATGCTGCAGAAGCATCAAGCAATTATGATTACGTGCAGACAATATATCTTCTCCATATACAATTAAAAATTGCGCTGTCAGCTGTTGGAGCTGTGACATCTCGCCAAACAGGATGGAGCTAGGAACATAAGCACTACTCCAATCAAGTGTCACCACCTGAGGGGCTGAGATGTTGGCAATTGGTTGACTTTGTTCACTAGTGAAGCATTGCCGTACGGTACGGCTAACTCTTGCAGAGCTGGTGCAACGACATTGAGCTGCTGCAGGCTAGGCAGATGGCGCAGATCTAATTCTAGGAGAGACTCCGAGTGGATTGTGAACTTGTCCAGACCCTTGACATCGTACACGCAAAGGCGCCGCAAAGATGGGCAGCGTGGTGAAGAGACGACATCACTGAGGCTACACGGACCATGTAGCTGCATGTCAAACAACTCCAGATCGGTGAGCCGGGTAAATATGCCAGAAGGCGGCAGGGTGAGGCCAATGGAATCTAGATCGAGCATGACCTCGGTTGCGTTCTGAAAGCAAGGCAGCTTCAAGGGAGATGCGGCGGAGGAGCCGTCCATTTTCTGCCTGTTATTAAAATCTAGGACACCGGAGAGGCGGCGCGCGGCGATGGTGAGCCATGCCGCGACGGATTCGGGGGCGGCCTCACCCTCGATGGCGTCAACGAAGAGGCGGCCGAGGGCCGCCGCATCATGGGCGGCGAGGGCGGCGCGAATACCGTCGGGGTTAGTGCCGGCGGGGAAGTGGAGCTCCGGCAGGAGAGCCCAGACGCGGCGCCAGCGGCGGGCGAGGACGCTGGTCCGAGCGGCGACGGGGGCGTCCCGGAGCTTGACTGCTTGAGGAGGATGTGGATGAGGAGGTCGTCCGGCAGCGCGCTGAGCCGGTCCTCGCCGCCTCCAGCGGGGACGCCGGCGGCGTCGGAGAGCTTTGGCCGCCGATTGTCCGGCATGCGCTCCATGGAAGCAGGAGGGAAGAGCGATGCGGTGCGCCTCAGGTCATACCATTGCGCGCCGCCGGTGGGTGGGGATGGGAATGGGAGGAGGCTGAACTCAGTCGATTTGGGGGCTAGGGTTTTCTTCTCCCGGGATTGGGGATTTTGGGACTCTGGTTTCATAGTCGTTTTTTTAAGCTGGACTGTGGTTTCGTTGGACCCCCAGTTATTTTTCTTTTCTCTTTACTTATACTAGCATGTACAGCACTCCTTCTATCTCAGTCTACAAGGCTTGCACATCTATATCTATACTACTTATAAAAGAGCAAACATAATTTTCTTTAAGTGCACCCCACAAAACGTACACGGATACATTACCACCGCATGATTAGTCCCACTAAACTCAATCTAACGGCTAGCCTTAACCTAATTTGTTCTCTGTGTGCACTTAGCAATTTACATTGACTGACCGTACTCCACCGTGGAGGAAAATATGAAGTCCACGCCTGGTCAATTAGGAAACTATAATCACGGACACATCTAATTATTAGGAAACTAATCACAAACGCATCCTATTATTAGGAAACTAATCACGGGTGCATTCTATTATTAGGAAAATAATCACGAGTGCATCCTATTAGAAAATTAATCATGAACACATCTAATTATTAGGAAACTAATCACGGACGCATCCTATTAGATAACTAATCACGAACGCATCTAATTATTAGGAAACTAATCGCGAGTGCATCCTATCGTCTCCTATGAGGGAATCGCGATCGCGAGTCGCCTGTCGTCACCAGCCCACCACCCACGCGAGCCACAACGGGAGACATGCGAAGAGGAGCTGCGGCTTCCTCCGAACACGCACACGTGCCGTCGCCGCCTTCGTCTTCTGCCTGGAGGGCAGGTCACTCTTCTACTGACTGCAACGACTTCGCATCATACAGAGAGACCAACCATGTTTCTCCGAATATCTTGAACCATGATCCTTATGACTTCATCTCTACTACTTATAAGAAGTACATTTTTTCATTTGACTGCTTTCCCGACTTGGGAGGTAAGGTATGTTTTATCCACTAGAGTTGCTAAAATTGGAAGCATATCTGCAGTTTTTGCTTTCTAAACCGGCATTTGTTGGCCCTTTTTTGCTACTGTTATTCTTACAAGTGGTAGCCTACGTATCATTATTACTACAAACTGAGAGGATATTTGTTGTATTGTCAAAATTTTAGAATGTTGAGCCCTTAAAGAAATGTGTAGTACTCAAGTAACTGTCCCAAGTTGTCATATTAATGCTTTTGTCCCATGATTAACAAGTATAATTACGCAATTTATCAATGTAATTTTTATTTGGTTTACATGTTCTATTTTCATAATGAAGTAAGCCACTTTTCTTGCTTCCAGACATTACAACACTTGTGGTGTAATAGTAGAATCGGATGGTCCAACTAGCATTTTTTTGTCTTGTTTCACAGCTGATTCTATGCAGTCAAGACATCTCTACACTTCTCTATGTGACAATGGCTTCCTCTTTTCAACAAATCATAGAGGTCTTTTCCCGCTATTGTGTGGTTGACACTCAATTGTAATAATAATTCTTGACTGGAGTTTGTTAGCACTGAAACGGTTCCTTAGCTTGTTCTAAGTGACTTTTTCATGTGTGATTATACTTGCATAAATGTGTGCATATGGAGAATCATGATGAATTTTCTAAATAATTTTGAGTTTTAGACATTGGGAAAAGTGGGTGGTCTTTTAATACAGGAGACATGTTGATTAAGGAGAAACGAAATTTCAAATTATTTGTATGAGTTGGGAATAAGAGATTGTGTACTTTATAAGGAAATTTCAAATTTATGAATAAATTGTCTTGTATTAAGGATAGTATAATGTGTTAATCCAAATAAACGCGTGTTGCACGTGCACATTTATTAGTCCAAATAGACGTGCGTTGCACGTGCATATTTACTAGTGTATCTAGATTGTCAATTTAACATATATAAAATAAATTATTTAACATAAACATTACTTCATCATTAGAAAATAGAATATCTAAAGTTTCTAATGATATATTTTTATAATGTATCCCTCTTATTAATTTGGTCAAATTAACGACCTACGTACGCGTGCAAGCCTTGTAAACTAGGATAAAGGGAGTATATGCGTTCAAACGGAAGAAAAAAATATCGCATTGTTCTCACTTGTGTCACAACTTATACTCTTTCTCGTCCATGTCTATAGTGGTTGCAGTGTTCATTTGATTACAATATGTTTAAATGTAGTCAACACCACGACGATGAGCTCCGACACAGCACAACACACCTGCCATTGAACAAAAAATTTAAAATAATTTTTTTAACCAAATTCCAAAAAGTATCACCGGCCTCTCTTAGACCCAAAAGCATGTCTTCGTTCGTATGTAAGCCGAAGAGGAGATCTTCGTCCAGTGTTAGTCCCCAAAGGACTTCTCGGTCTTGTGTGGGCGTCCTCTCTCTCTC